TAGTAATACAGCAATGTTAATTTCCATTCGCTATCGCACTGTAGCTGCATAGGAGAACGTCTTTATCTATAGGAAATTTGGGGATGATGGTGCATCATTTTAGCAACTTACTTTCAACTGTTTCAGGGAAAAGACACAATTATGTATAGTGAACTTAAAAATGTTTAAAAATAAAATTTTTTAAACCCACAAAATAAATTTGACTATGTCAAAACTTAAAACTACCATACGACAAAAAATACTAACTGTGCAAAGTTAACAGATAAGCCACATCTTAGAAGACAGTATTTGCAGCATATAACAGGAAGAGGCATTCAAAGTATATAATGAATTCCTATGAATGAAAAAGAAAACAATGGACAATCTAAGAGAAAAGTAAAGAGAAAACCCAACTACCCCAAAATTAATCTCATTAGTAATCTAATAAAAAAGATGAAAAATCATAATGATCTTCATTTCACAATCAGACTGGCAAAAACCAAAATGTTCAACAATATAGATGTTACCAAGAGGAAGAGTAATAAGACCTCTCAAAAAATATCAGTGATAATGTAAAAGGGTAAATCATTTTGGAGAACAACAGTAAAATCAAAGACATATATACCCTTTCTTTGATCCAACTAATGTCCTTCTGGATATGAACTGCAGATTAGCAGAATTGGCACCACCTGGGAGCTTAGTAGAAAATGCAAACTCACAGGAATTACCCCAGACCTACTCAATCAGCATCAACATTTAACTAGATTGGCAGAATCAGTATCACCTGGGAGCTTAGTAGAAAATGCAAAATCTCAGGAATTACCCCAGACCTACTCAATCAGCATCCACATTTACCTCCATTAGCAGAATTTGCATCACCTGGGAGCTTAGTACAAAATGCAGAATCTCAGGAATTACCCCAGACCTACTCAATCGCATTTACATTTACCTAGGTTAGCAGAATGGCATCATCTGGAAGCTTAGTAGAAAATGCAGAATCCCAGGAATTACCCCAGACCTACTCAATCAGCATCTACATTTCACTAAATTGACAGGATTAGCATCACCTGGGAGCTTAGTAGAAAATGCAGAATCTCAGGAATTACCCCAGACCTACTCAATCAGAGTCTATATTTAACTAGATTAGTAGAATTGGCATCACCTGGGAGCTTAGTAGAAAATGCAGAATCTCAGGAATTACCCCTAACCTACTCAATCAAAATCTACATTTAACTAGATTAGTAGAATTGGCATCACCTGGGAGTTGAGTAGAAAATGCAGAATCTCAGGAATTATACAGACCTACTCAATCAGCATCTACATTTACCTACATTAGCAGAATTGGCATCACCTGGGAGCTTAGTAGAAAATGCAGAATCTCAGGATTTACCCCAGACCTACTCAATCAGAATCTACATTTCACTAGATTAGTAGAATTGGCATACCTAGGAGCTTAGTAGAAAATGCAGAATCTCAGGATTTACCCCAGACCTACTCAATCAGAATCTACATTTCACTAGATTAGTAGAATTGGCATACCTGGGAGCTTAGTAGAAAATGCAGAATCTCAGGAATTATACAGACCTACTCAATCAGCATCTACATTTACCTACATTAGCAGAATTGGCATCACTTGGGAGCTTAGTAGAAAATGCAGAATCTCAGGATTTACCCCAGACCTACTCAATCAGAATCTACATTTCACTAGATTAGCAGAATTGGCATCACCTGGGAGCTTAGTAGAAAATACAGAATCTCAGGATTTACCCCAGACCTACTCAATCAGAATCTACATTTCACTAGATTAGCAGAATTGGCATCACTTGGAAGCTAGTACAAAATGCAGAATCTCAGGAATTACCCCAGACCTACTCAATCAGCATCTACATTTATCAAGTCATCATATGATTCACATACATAGCAACATCTGAAGAACATCACCCTCAAGAAACTTTGAATGTGAGTACAAGGATACATGAACAAGGATATATATTGCACAATTGTATGACATAACAAACAATTGGAAACATATCAAATGTCCCTTACAGTATGTTGTTGCCCTATGGTAACAACACCAATCTCAGTGGCTTAAAACAAAGATTTAAAATTGACTCATGCTATACATTCATAATAGGTTGGCAGGGAAGCTCTGCTTATAGAAGTCACTCAAGGACTCAACCACCACCTTGAAAGTTGTTATTTGTCATGACCAAGAGAAAATAAGAGAACTCCGCATGAGAAATTAAATGCTAGTCCCCAAAGTGACAAATATTACTTCTGCTCACATCTCATCAGCCAGAAATAGTCACGTGGCTCAACCCACACACGGAGGCCAAGAAATATAACCCTCCCTTGTGCCAAAAGAAGGATGAGCTAGAAATATTGGTAAATGGCACTTATGACAACTGGAATTGGAAGGGAAAATGTAGATTACTCATAGAATGCACTACCATAGAGATTAAAATGATTAAACTAGATCTATAAACAAAGAAAATAAGCTATCTACTAGTATGTAAGCCCCATAAGGGAACACATTTTTGTTCACAGCTATTTCTTTAGCATCAAGAGCAATGCCTAGAACATAATAGGTACTCAATTCACCTTTGTTGAGTGAGTAGATGCATCTTAAAACAAGGACTGAGAACCATCTAAATAAATGTTTTTTACACACAAAATTTAAAAACGAGATTTATAGATATTAAGACTAGAAAGACATTCACCAAATTTCTTTTCTTTTGTTTTTTGTTTTTTTTTTTGTTTTTTTTTGAGACAGGTCTTGTTCTGTCCCTAGGATGGACTGCAGTAACATCTTCATAGCCCACTGCAACCTCAAACTTTTCGGCACAAGCTATCCTCCTGTCTCAGCCTCCCACATACCTGGGACTATAGATGAACACCACCATGCCCCGCTAATTTTTCTATTTTTTGTATAGATGAGGTCTCAGTCTTGCTCAGGCTGGTCTTGAACTCCTGGCCTCAAGCAATCTTCCCACCTTGGCCCCCCAAAAGTGCTAGGACTATAGGAGGTGAGCCATCATACCCAGCCATCACCAAATTTCTGATATTGATTTCCTCAGGGGAGTAGGAAAAGGAATATGACCAAGGAAGGGGAAAAATTTTATCCGTAGTTTTAAAAAATATATACTGCATATCTGTCCATATATACTTTTATATATATGCCATATGTACGCACATATATAAATATGAATCAAAATTGGAAAATTGTTGACATCTATTAATTCAGAGAAGTTGGTATATAACTTTTTTGTTTTGTTTTGTTTTGTATTCTCTATAATTTTAGAACTGTACTATAAGGTTATTAGGGAAATAACACTACTTCCATATCTCATTGACCAGAACTTCTCATAGTGTCCTACCCATGTTTTTTTATGAGAGCAGGTCCTCCTGGAGAAAAGGAAGTCTAGAAAACAATCCCAAAAAACTTGAAAAATATTAAATGCCTAATGCTTTAGCTTCACAATCCTTGAGAATTTAGAATCTTTATCCATAATATTTCTATTCTTATTTCAATATTAAGTACACTTTAACTGTATACTTTTCCTTCAAAACCTAGGTAAAATTAATATTCCAGGAAATTATGCCCTGTTTATCCTACAGCTTCACATATCTTCAGCACACTGCAGGATACTCCAAGGCAGAGAGGGTGGGGATGCTTACTCTAGTTTAGGAAGAAGAACAAAAGAGTCACTGCAGAGTTTCCTCTGGAATGAAACTAGAAGACAATACACAGAAGAGGAATCCTCTAAATTTAACCTTGCCCTTGCCCTTTGTAATAATTAATTTTATGTGACAACTTAGCTAGGCCACAGTATGCAGGTATTTGGCCAAACATTATTCTAGGTGTTTCTTTGAAGGTATTTTTTAAATAAGATTAACATTTAAATCAGTAGACTCACTGTAGGTAAAGAAGGTTACCTTCCATAATGGGTGTGGGCCTCATCCAATTGCAATCAAAGACCTTAATAGAGAAAAAGCTAAGGCCAGGTGTGGTGGCTCACACCTGTAATCTTAGTACTTTGGTAGGCTGAGGCAGGAGGCTCGCTTGAGGCCAGGGGCTCAAGACCAACCTGAACATAGTGAGACCCCATCTCTACAAATAAAATAGAAAAAAATTAGTAGGATATAGTGTCATGCATCTGTAGTCCCAGCTACTCAGAAGGCTGAGGCAGGAGGATCACTTGAGCCCAGGAGTTGGAGGCTGCTGCAGTGAGCTATGATGGCCCCACTGTACTCTAGCCCGGGCAACAGAGCAAGATCTTGTCTCAAAAAAAAAGAAAAGGACAAGGGGGGGAGGGGAGGGGAGGGGAGGGGAGGGGAGGGGAGAGAAAAAAAAAGAAAAAGAAAGAAAAGGCTACCTTTGCCTAAGGAAGAGGAAATTCTGCCAGCAGACTGCCTTGGACTCAAGCTGTAACATTAACTCTTCCCTGGAATTCTATCATATGGACCTACTCTGCAGATTTTGGACTTGGTAGCTTCTGCAATTATGTGAGCCAATTCCTTAAAATAAATACTTCTCTCTCTAAATAAATAGACAAGCATAGATAGATACACACACACACACATACACACACATACATACATACACACACACACATACACACACACACACTACTGGTTCTGTATTTCTGGAGAACCCTGGCTAATACACTCCTGCACCAGAACCATGGCTATTTTTTTCTACAATAATACTAAATAAACCAAAACATGTTTCTCAAACCAACTATCACTAAAAGAGTTACATGCTTTTCCCTAAAAGACTGGATCTTCTAAAAGTCAAACCATAAGTCTTATTTATTAAACAAAATCATGACAAAACACATCAGTATACTACTAATATATGCAAATAAATCTAGGATGAATCAATAGATATACAAAAGGCTAGAGAAGATGTTATGGACTTTCTAATTATTTTTTGAAAAATTATGCTAAATATGGGCCTTAAAAGTATTCTAAATAACATAAAACTAGATAACAAAAACTGTTGAATAAAAAATTCTTACCTTTTAGTTTTCATCTGGTCCCTCAGTTTGCTGTACATCTCTAGGACTTAAAAGAGAGAAAAGAGCACACAAGCATTATTTAGAGAAAGTGAAATATAATTAAAGCTAAAAAAAAATATTACAGCAAGAATTCTATTCCATTTCTAGTTCCTCACCTGGAAGACACAGCATTAATTTATCAACAGTGGCAGAAATATTTCTCTGTTGTAGTCGACACTGCTTCAGCTCTTCCATTGCTATTACCAGCTTGGCAAGAGGGAAAAAGACTGAATTATGCCAATAGCTGTAAATAAAAAGCTTTCAGTCACATTTTTCCACACTGTGTTCAATTCATCAGAAAATCCCAGACAGTTTCATAGTGAGACCTGCCAAGTGAACTAAGGAACTGCCTTTCCCAACCAGTAAAACATTCCTGCACAGTTTCCCACTTTCTTCCCAAGAAACTATAGTATACTATTTGAAAGTCTTAATAAAATGAAATCCTAAAATACAAGGACTATACAGGGGGAAAAATTTTTGCATATTTTCTCCAAACCCCGTTTAGACTCTTCATGATTAATATAGTTTTATCAATCGTCTGAGAAGACCCCGTATTTCTTTCATCAGCATTGGACTCCTAGAGGAAAAGAGTTCTTCCCATACAGTTTGGAATGAGTCTTGAAAATGATCTTCAATTAAATCTGTACTTCAACAGATAAACCACACACTTAGAACATGTGACTTTTCTAAGAGTTACAGTTTAGTGAAGTGTAACTTACTTTTATTCCCATAGTTCCTATTTTAAAAACTTTTATCTGAACTCATCCTACAACTAGAAGAAATTACACTCCACAGAATATAGAATATGTGAGAAAAACTTTTAAATTAAGCAATAATCTAAATATCTACTTGTAGCATTCATCCCATACCCATACCTAAAAATGCTATCTGCTTAGATATCATGCAAAAAATAGCAAAAGAAAATGGCCCTGATTAAGCCACTGACAATCAAAAGCTAATCTTAAAGGTTATTAAAATTAAGCATTAAGTATTAGGTGATGATAAAGAAGGTGAATGATACAGAGAACAGTAAAGGGCTATGAGTCAGAAAACCTGGGTTTTAATCGTAGCCATACCAATTACTGTATAAACTTTAGCAAATCATTTGTTTTAGTTTCCTCATCAATAAAATAGTGATAATATTTGTCCTCACTTTGTCTACCATAAGGATGGTAGTGAGTAAATGGATATAAAATAATATTGTAAACTATGAAAGTTTAAACAGTGAGTATATTAATCAATAGAATCAATGATTCTTTTTTTTAACATATATTTATTGAGCACCAACTTTGAACCAGTCACTATTTACGTAGGTAGAAGGGATATATCAATTAAAAAAAAAGAAATTCCTGACCCCATGGAGCTTAATTTCCAATGAAGGAAAACACACACAAAAAAAGAAAAAAAGAAAAAAGAATTCAGGGTGAGTCTGAAACTTCAAATAATGTGATTAGGAAAGGCCTCATTAAGAAAGTAACATTTGTGCAAAGATTTGAAGTAGACAAATATTTGGGAAAGAACATTCCAGGCAAAGGGATCAGCACTTGCCATAATATGACCACTCAGTGGTTTAAAAACACAGCTAAGGAAGGCTCTATCATCTCTCATTAGGCTTTCTAGAGTATATATTCATTTAATTCAGGTAAACATTAGAAGAAGCAACAATAATGTCCACATACTTTCAACATACTACTTAAGAGTTCTTACAAACCACTAAATGAATAACATAGTCATCAAAAGAGAATGGCATGAAACAGAAAAGATGTTTTTCAAAAGGTAAACTGGCCTTACTTCTTTTCCCTCATGTTGTAGTTTTCTATTAGTATCCGTCACTTGATTCTGTGGAGAGAAGACAATTTAAACTCATAAAAAACAAATATTTAGACAATAGTTTAAAAAGATCAAAATTTTATATGGAAAGACTGGGGATACTTTACTTTCAGTATTCCACCACATGATGGTCCAGTGGCATTCTCTTATGTTTAAATTATATCAGCTTTTCTATTGGACATATATGATCTTCTGAACAATGAATAGAAAAATTTACTAATAGATATGTTGAGTTTAGAACATTCCAAACTAAGATATTATAATAAATAAAGATTACACTTTACCTTTGGAAAGAAAAGAGAGAAAAATAAAATAGAAAAACCTACCAAAAGTCTTACCATCTCTACAAAGTCTAGAAACAAATTTTATTATAGATAGTCCTCATTTCACCAAAAGTGCTAGAAAAGTCAGGTATAAATCAAACTTTTTAACTCAAGTCAAGGTTTCCCTATTTGTTTATTATTTTAATTTTAGAAAATGTTTTAACTTAATTCTTTTTGGATCATAATTCTTAACAGCTCCTAACCCTTCCATATTCCCATTTTTACAGTATAATCTCTCTATCTCTCAGATAGAGATAGTAAAAAATATGTGACTAAGCTCTAAACGATCTAGTTCATTTTAAAGAAACTGGCATCCACCTTTTTTTGGCATCTACTTTTGACATCTCAATTGATGTAAAAAAAAAAAAAGTAAATATATAGAATAGTAATTTCCTTATCATCTCAGACATTATCAAAACATAAACAATATTAACTTCTAAAATGTTTTTTCATAGAGGCTTTCTAGCCTTCCACCAATAACTGCATTAAACTTTTAATGCGCTCCCCTAACCCTAACCCCTAACATTTCCCATTATGTGTGCATGCACACCTGTGCATGTACATGCACAGACATGGTATGACATGCACTGTAAATGTCCAAGGAAGGGATATCATACAGAACATTTTCCAAACATATTTAACACTCCTTTATTGAAGATCTTCTCAAGGAACTAGTATTTCAAAAAACACACTTTTGAAATCACTGCTCTAAACTATATACTACACCTGGACTATCATCTTCAGAGCAGATTACTATATACAGTTCCTTTCAAAGACAAAATGAAATCCAACCTCCTCCAAAAAGCCTTATAAAATACCAGAAAAAGCAGCAAGAATCCCTGAAATTCCCTCTTTATTATTTACTTAATGGCTTCACATGTCCAATGTTTTGTGGATTTATTAGACTGAGCTCGATATGAATTAAGAGTGTGATATATCTGCCCAAAATGCAGATCTAAGACAATATTAATAGAAGCATTGTCTAAAACAGGGGTGGACAATCCGTTTCTATAAGGGGCCAGATAGTAAATATTTTAAACTTTGCAAGCCATATAGTCTCCATTGTTAACTACTCAACATTATCATTGTAATAGGAATGCAGCCATAAATAAAATGTAAATGAAGGAGCATGGCTGTGTTCCAATAAAACTTTATTCACAAAAACAGGAGGCAAGCTGGATTTGGCCTACAGAATAACAGTATGCTGAGCCCTGGTCTACAATAAATGAGATGTAGGGTTATAAGATCACACTATCAGAATTACATTTAGATGTCATGTTTCAAGAAGGGCATTGACAAGCTGAAGCACAAATAGATGTGAGTAGGTTTGGAGAGGGAGTCAAAGCCATACCACATGAAAAACAGATGAAGGAACTTTTAGCCCAGAGAGAGGAAAAATTATCATTTGGAGACACTATACACTATACCTGGATCCTATACATAATATACCATACCTGAACAATAATGACTGCCCTTCAAGTATTTGAAGAGCTATCAGAAGAAAGGGAGCTCCCTAAAAATTACTTATTCCTCAAACCAACAAATAGCTGTTACTAGAAAACAGGATTCAGCTCAATGTAAGAAAAAAGTTTCAAGCAATGTAAATAAAAGTGGTATGGGCTGCCTTAAGTGATAGTGCTTAAACTCCTCATAGTAGTTATTCAATAAATTAGACTTTGTTTAAATCCTAAACTGGAGATCTAGAATTCAATCCTCCAGAGATACTCCTAAGTTCAGAATCATTGTCTCTACTAGAGTAGCCTTTTTATCTTATAAAGGCACCACTTCTCACTTTTTTTTTTTTTACCTCAAACTCATTGTAAAAAATACATTTTCCACTGCAACTCAGTACACAAGTATTGGGAACACACAATTACACACAAAAACAATTTTCAAGAAACAATGTTTATCCTTACTGCATATAATATATTTTTATTCTCTATTCCATTCTATTCTATTTAATTTTTAGTTAAGACTATTTGTCAATGCCGACTAAATTGATTTCTTGGAAACCATGGTTCTAAAACACATCCATAGGTACCAAACCAATACTTCTGGTAAGAAAGATAATAACTACTTCAATAGTATTCAACAACTATTTCAATGCATAACAATAAAAAGAAACTAAACCAAATATCTAGGATGCTACTTCTTTTGTTTCAAAGAACATAAATGGGGTGTGTGTATACTTCCATAAATATATGTGTGTATGTGCGTACACATGCTGTGAATCAAAATATAATGGGTATTCTAGAGTATAGTTTCTTTTCATTGTTATGTCAAAATAGTATTGACAGTAGTTGATACCTAACCTTTCCCATTTTCTAAACTCTTTTCTAGAGTCAGAAAACTCTACATTTCATAGTTTCTTGACCTAGGTCAAATCGATGCCCCTAGAGAAAAGCCTGCCAGGTATGCTGCTAGGCATTAATCCTCCTAGCCCTCAGAGTAACTTGTTAAAGCCTGAAACAGCCAAAAACCCTGAACTAGTAGCCTCCAGTTCAGACATTCTTTCAGAAGCATCCAGAGCAAGTTGAAATAATTTGCAACTCAAAGCAATTTGAAAGAATGAGAGGGAAGTAAGAGGAATAGAAGATGAGTACCAACCAGCAAGTGATATCAGCAATTAGTGAGCATTATGGGCAATGTTTGGCAGTACCCTGCCAAGGAGGTATTCCACCACATGACCATTCACTAACTAAAGACAGACCATCCTGCTGCCCATCATGGGCTATGAACCCAAGGAGCTAAGGGAGAAGAGTGGGATACAGGCGTCCAAGAAGCATAGAAAAGAACAGCATAAAATGACTATAGGAAGCTGAGATAGCTGGGTGAGGACAAATAACATACACAGCTCCTGGCAGGATATCCTGGCTCATATCTTTGTTTTCACACATTTCAGATAATTTTGTCCATGAGGCTGATCAGCCCCCAAAATTTCAGGATCACAAATGTATGGACCAACGAATAAAAGGAAGCAATATTAAAATTCTTTAATATAATTTCAAGGGGTACAATTTTTGAATAGATACAGAAATCGTTCAATTTTTTATTATCCACATCTGAGAAAAGGTTCTCTTGAATAGTGCCTAGGAAGAATTCAAAAAGGTCATCATTTTAAAAGTCTGGATGACATTTGCATGTAGTCATTTTAAGCATAAAACTAAATATTAAAAAAGTTATTTCATAGTAGCAAGTTTAAGTTTCTCATTTTAAAATTATGAAAAAAAATTTTAGAAAATATATATATATTCTTAATATATCTTACTACTATTTTTCTTAGTATAATCTGTAAAATGTACAGATTTTTTCCATCAAGCTCCATATTCCTCCAAGTACCCTCTAGTTTACCCCTATTGTGCTGTGACAAGAAAAAGGTTGGAAAGCACGCCCTAGAGGAATCGCTCTATGGGCTTCTCGACAAAGTCATGGAAAATTGTTCTCAATTTATATTCTCATGTATGTATACATTTTTTAGAGAGAAGATCCATGGTTTTCATGAGATTCAGGCCCTCCTCATTTTATTCCACATCTGAGTGACTAGTATTACCAACTACTGAGTCACCCAAACTAGAAACCTGAGATTCATGGGCTCTATCTAATAAGCTCATAAGCATCTCTGCAATCTGCCCCTTCCTCACAATCTCCTTAGTTTTAGGTCCTCAACATTTTTTTAACCTAGATTTCAACTTATTATTTTCCCACATTGAATGAAAATTTTTAGTGTGTATCCTATAACACTGAATTTTCTAAGTGACATTCAAAATTTTCACTTGAAACTATAAGAAACTTAAAATACAAAGACACTAATAAAAACATTAAGATTATCTATTATTCAGGAATCATTGATAACATTTTGGTATACAGTCTTTCAATCTTTTTTAATGCTTATTTATTTACATATAAAGTATGTGCGTATTTAGTTTATAAAAATAGAATCACATTGTTCATACTTTTTAATCTGCTTTATACATTAAGCAAACATCACTAATACTTTCCCATGTCAAATATCCTCTACAGTATATTATAATTTATTATTCTTCCAAGTAGATGTACCATAATTTCTTTTAGTATTCCTCCATTAAATAATTTTTAAGAACATTTTTAAGTTTTGCCTATAATAAAAATCGCCATATGACATCCTTGCATATACACCTATAGCCTTAGATAAATCATAAAACTATGTGGGATTTTCAGTATTAGTACCTATTGTTTAAATTTACATTCCTTTATTTCTAAATTGCACAGTTCTCTTATATTTTTTCTTATATAAATTGAATGTTAATGTGTACTTCTCAGTTTTCTATTAGAATATACATATATTTCCTATTCTTTTGTAAAAAATCTTTATATGTTAAGACTATCAACTATTTGCCATATGTATTTGTAAATATTTTTGATTACCTGCATTTTCATTTTTAATTTGTATATAGAGTAGGTTCTTTCATTTTAATGTTGTCAAATCTATCATTTTTTTCTTTCCGATTCAGGAATTTTGTTTAGAAATGTACCGTGTTTCCCCGAAAATAAGACCTACCCATAAAATAAGCCCTAGCAGGATTTCTAAGCATTTGTGCAATATAAGCCCTACCCCAAAAATAAGACCTAGTGATGGGTGTGGCTATGCAGTGTGTCTGCATAACCCATGCATTTCCTTGCCTAGCGGTAAAGAAGACGAGCAGCCCTTCTCATCTGCCCCATGAAAGCTCTATTGCTCGACTTGAAAGATTGGGGCCAATGGTTCTAAAGGACCTAGAGTCGCAAGAAATTCAGATGGAATTTGGGGTTTCCAGAAGAAAACGACTTAACTATACTTGAATAAATGTAGATTGTTGTACCGTACTTAAAAAAAATAACACATCCCCTGAAAATAAGCCCCAGGGTGTCTTCTTGAGGAAAAATAAATATAAGACCGTGTCTTATTTTCGGGGAAACATGGTATTGACCCCTTCCCAAAATCACATAAATATTTACCTACATTTTCTACTATTTCCTTTATGGTTTTTGCTTTGTTATGTTTTTACCTTTAACTCTTTAGTTCCTATGAAATTAATTTTGGTATTTTGAATGAGGAAGAGATCTAACTTAGTTTAAATTAAAATAGATAAGCATTAAAGAACATTACAAATCGAAAGACTTACCTCTGGGGTAGAGAAAGCAACTGAGAGGGGTACAAAAGAGAGATTTAATTGTGTTAGAAATATAATATTTCTTAAGATGGCTGGATACTGTTGTATAGGCCCGTAAGTTCTTATTTAAAGCCTTGGGACCCAAGGTGTTTTGGACTTAAGAATGCTGTAGATTTTATAAAGATAATAAGGTATATATTGTCTATTATGTAATATCCCCCAATGGGTACTAGGATAGTGCCAAATAATCAAACATTAATATTTCTGTAGCAAAACATAAAAATTTATGCTAAACAAAAGACATTAAGAAATTTAATGGTTTCAGCCAGGAGTGGTGGCTCACGCCTGTAATCCCAGAACTTCGGGAGGCTGAGGTAGGCAGATCACTTGAGGCCAGGAATTTGAGATCAGCCTGGACAACATAAGCAAGACCCCATTCTAGAAAAAATTTTAAAATGAGCCGGGCATAGTGGCACATGCATGCACCTGTAGTCCCAGCTACTCAGCTACTCAGCAGACTGAGACAGGAGGATTGCTTCAGCCCAGGAGTTCGAGGTCACAGAAAGCTGTAATTGCATCACTGTACTCAAGATGCTATTTCTAAGAAAAAAATTTTTGATTTAAAAAAAATTAGTTAATTAATTAATTAAAATTTAAAAAGCCGGGCGCGGTGGCTCACGTCTGTAATCCTAGCTCTCTGGGAGGCCGAGGCGGGCGGATTGCTCTAGTTCAGGAGTTCGAAACCAGCCTGAGCAAGAGTGAGACCCCGCCTCTACTATAAATAGAAAGAAATTAATTGGCCAACTAAAAATATATACAAAAAATTAGCTGGGCATGGTGGCGCATGCCTGTAGTCCCAGCTACTTGGGAGGCTGAGGCAGGAGGATTGCTTGAGCCCAGGAGTTTGAGGTTGCTGTGAGCTAGGCTGATGCCACGGCACTCACTCTAGCCTGAGCAACAAAGCGAGACTCTGTCTCAAAAAATAAATAAATAAATAAAAAAGAAATTTCATGTCTCTTTAGGTCATGTTCTGTGGTCAAATGAGTTTTGAAATTATTGTACTTTTAGAATATAATATGTGATAGCCCACTTTGACCCTCAGTAAAAATGCTTCTTTGTTTTTCTTAACAATGTATTCTTTCAGATGAATTTTACACAGATTGTCAAATTAACCCTAAGCCCAGGAAAATCCTTTTAGGATTTTAATTCAAATTCCAGTTTTTAAAAAATCAAAAGCATGGACTGGAAAGAAGAAAATAAAATTGTTATTATTTGTAGATCACATGAGTGTTTACATAGAAAACTCAAAAAAACCCTGCATAAATTATTAGAAATAACAGAAGAGTTTAGTGAAGTAGTTAGATTTAAGATCAATAAGCAAAGTGAGTTATCTAAGATAAGTGAATTTGCTATGCCACGGACCAGACGAAAGTGACTAGCTTCCTTCCTGAATCTTAATCTGTCACATCAAGAAAGAAGCTTCATGCTTTGGTAGAAGACCCTCCACAACAACCACTGATATTTCTTCCTTTGGCCTAGATATTATGCTACAAAGAATTCTACAGCAGTGCCCTGAAATTTTGTCATCCTACAATGATAGTTTTTATACAGCAGGAAGCAGATGATATGAAGAGTCAAACTGAGTTTTTGTTGAAAGAAACAGTTACTAATCACTGGTTCTGATTCACATGTAGTTATATTCCAATTAAACTCTTAAGTTTTTAGCTAAAGAGCTCCGATCTCTATTATCTCAATTCCTTTCATACTATATAAAAATCTTTACTATAAGTATATGATCTGCATTGTAGTCCCTATTCCTTTAATACTGATCAAAACCCCACCAACAATTTTCTCTTAGAGTTTCCTTACTTTGAGTTTCTGGGCTTCTCCTCTTACTTTCAGCAGTTCAGTTATAGAGTCCACAAAGCCCTGGTAATGAAAGTTGCACATTTTCTCAATTTCCCGGTCATGATTGCGGATGCGAGTTTCAAGCTTCTCCATGAATCGTCCATGTTCCTCACCATCATAGACAGACCTTTAAAAAAAATGGCATGAAAATTACACCACAGTTACTTGTAAGAAGGAGAAACAGAATTACAAACCAAAAGTAAATCAAATATCTTTGGAAAATAGATATTGAGGATACATAAACCACAAAGTAATCCAATTGTATGCTAATATTGCCTCAATGTAAAATGAGTATTTTTTAGGAAAATCCAAAATTTTGCTTTCTCATTCATTAAAAAATATTTGAATGATTGATAGTATTCATCACAGAAATCTCATCATAATATGAAAAGACTAAATTATAACACCCTTGTACTTTTCTTTTTCAATTAAACTAGTATAAAAAACCTCAATTTTGGTTAAACCCAAATATCCAATTACTCCATGGCTACATATTCAAGAAGCTGAACATTGCTGGAGAAAAATCACATAGCTGTGCTGGCTAGACTCAGTATAGCTATATAACTACAAATGTAAGTTAGGCACTCAATATCACTATAATCCTACCACAACTATCCCCCTAACTTCCCCCTCAAAATATCACTTTGTATTCTCCAAAATATTTTTATGTAGGAACCTTATTTTCTCCTCTCCTCAAATGTTCATCCCCTCACTCTCAGCTACTGCCCTGACTACATAACTTATAGAAAAAATAGACACAGAAAAGTATCTCTCCTTTCCGCACTAAAATCAACCAACCTACTTTTATCTGTAACTCCTACTCTGTCCACCCTCTTATAACAATAGAAGTAGTATTCCAAGCTCTTATCTGCAGTCAATCCTTCTTGTTCTCTCAAGAACTTTACCCTACCAAAACCTGCCCTTAACCACACATGCCCCTCCAGCTACCATCTCATTTCTCTGTTCTCCTTCCCAGCAAAACTTCTTTCCACTTCCTCGCCTTCTCACTTCCTTACCTTGCTGGAGTAAGCATTCACCTTACTCCACCTAATAGCATTTGATAGTCTCTCCTTCTTTAAACACTCTCTTCAATGATACTTCACTAACATGGTTTCTCAATCTCCTTTCTCAACTCTTCTCTTCTATCACAATATTCCTAAAACCTCTTCTCTTCTCTATCTATGTTCTCTCAAGTGACACCATCTAATCCTATAGCTTTAAAATACCACCTATATAGTGCTGACTTCCCAATCTATACCTACAAATCAGAGCACTTAACTGAGTACTAGATTCATATATCCAGCTACTATTTAACAACTCCAGTTAGATTTTTTAAAGCCACTTCAAATCTAACACAGGGGAAAAAAAAAAAATCTTAATTATCAACCTATCTCCACTCCCAAATTTATTCCTCTCCAAATTTCCTAAGCACAAACTCATTCCATCACAAATAGTGGCACCATCCACTTGCCCAAACCAAAAATCCAGGAATTATTCCTAATCTATCTCTTTCCATCATACACCCCATCCAATCTATTAATAAGTCCTGACAATGCAACCTCCAAAACATGTCCTACAATTGACTGTATCCCACCACTTCCACTAAAATCCTAGTCCAAATCTATATTATCACCACACTGAACTAATGCAATGGCCTCCTAAGAGTCTCTACTCTATACTTCCCCTCTTCCTTGCCCCTGCCACAGTACAAACACTCCACACAGCAATTAAAAAGATCTTTTAAAAGCGGTAACTCAGATGTATCCCCCATATCAATCTCTCCAATGGCTTCCTTTTACAAAAAGAATAAAAATCTTGAATCTTTATTATGGCCTATAAGGCCCTATATAATCTAGCCTCTGATTATCTCTCTAACCTCATTTCTCTCCTCTCTCTAGTTCCCACCTCAATCTCCTTCTATCCTCTATGCTCCACCTACACTGGCTTTTTTTTAGCTTCTTCGTGCCCTCAGGATTTTGTTTTGCTGTTTTTATGCTAGTAACGCTTACCCCCTCTATCTTTGAACAATCTCCTCCTCACCATTGTCCATGGTTTGTTGTTTGTCTCTTCTCAAAACCCACCCCAACTAGATTATAAGCTCAAAGGTAAGAACTTTGTCTGCCATATTAATCACTGTACCTCTACAACAGTGCCAGACAGGTAGTAGGCAATAAGTAAACATCCATTGGCCAACAAATGACTAGCAGGGTCTCTAAGACCTCTTTGATCGGTTCAACGAATACACATTTGCTCACTGCCAACATTTTCTGGTTTTATAATCACTTGTAGGTACCAGATCATACCCTGATCCTGAGCATCAGAATGCACACTTTCTTCATTAGGTCATTTCCACTGCCTAAAACTCAGCAGTAGCCAAAGATAAAACATATGTAGTCATGCACCACATAACAATATATCAGTCAGTGATGGACCACAGGTACAAAAGTGGTCCCATAAGACTGTAATAAGGCTGAAAAATTAACTATGCCTCGTGAAGTTAAACATCATAAACATAGCACAACACATTATCTTTTTTATGTTTAGATACACAAATACTTACCATTGTGTTACAATTGCCTACAGTATTCAGTACAGTAACATGCTGTACAGTTTATAGCCTAGGAGCAATAAGCTATACCATATAGCCTAGGTGTGTAGTAGGCTATATACCATCTAGGTTTGTAAGTACACCCTATCATGTTCACACAACAAAAAAAAATGCCTAATGACACTTTTCTCAGAACATATCCTGATGCATGACGACACATGTTTGGCTTCTGGTGAAGATTCTAAACACTTACTTCAGAAAAAGCAGAATAATCAAGATTCATTCTCGTTCCTTTGAAGTAAAGAGAGATCATCAAATAAATTACAAATAATCCCTGCTTTGATGAGTAAGAAAACTGTAGAATAACCATTTGCCTGAAGGACCTATTTGGAATATACAAGACAGAATCTACCATAGACATTTCAACTAATCTCAAATAAGCTTAACTTTTCCTCTTTCAATGAATGGAAAAGAAAAATTCCATGTAAAGATACTCATATTCCAGGCCAGGTGCAGTGTGGCTCATGCCTGTAATCCTAGCACTCTGGGAGGCCAAGGAGGGCAGATTACTCAAGGTCAGGAGTTCAAAACCAGTCTGAGCAAGAGTGAGACCCTGTCTGTACTAAAAATAGAAAGAAATTAATTGGCCAACTAAAAATATATACAAAAAATGGGCCAGGCATGGTGGCACATGCCTGTAGTCCCAACTACTCGGGAGGCTGAGGCAGAAGGATTGTCTGAGCCCAGGAGTTTGAGGTTGCTGTGAGCTAGGCTGACACCACAGCATTCACTCTAGCCTGAGGAACAAAATGAGACTCTGTCTCAAAAAAAAAAAAAAAAAAAAAAAAAGATACTCATATTCCTTGACATTTGGAGAATGGGAAGAATCACTGAGAACTCCTCACCCTAAATGGCATAAGCTGACAGTATTATTCAATATTAGACGACATCTTGGTTTCAAATTCAGTACACCGTGATTCAGTAATATTTCTAAGTTAGGTAGCAAGTCTAGGTAGAAGTTACAGAAAATTTCCTTTTTTTTCCTTCAAAGATCTACATTAACATCACAGAACACAACCTGTGGAGAAGAAAATCTCAAAGCCAAGAAATTCAGAACTTATATTAATAATGCCTCCCTAAGCTCCCTGAACATCCTATTTAAAAACAAACAAACACACAAAAAACAGAAATAAAAAATCAAAGAAAGGAAACATGGATTTTAGGTGCCTGACTATGCTCTTAGCACTGTAATTAACTAGCTATGAGTCTTTGGCCAATTGAGTTAATCTCTCTGGTTCTCTTTCCCATTTAGAAAGAAGAATCAATTACAATTCTCTGAAGTACTAGCTTAGAAACTTTAAGTTTCTACAATTCGCCTCCTCTTTCAAATTCAGTTAGTAGTGTAAAGATCACACATTTTTAGAATAATGTAGAGGTAGTAATTCCAAACAAAGAAGTTTCTACCTCCTTATCACTACCCCCTATCTATTTCTCCTATCTTAGGATCTTTATCATTCTAATATTCTCTTTAATTATAATGTCGAATAACATGAAAGGTTTACAGTTGATCCCTAGAGTATTTTGAGAATTAAAAAGTCAGAATAAAATGTAAAATGCACATATTTAAAACAAGGAATATGGACTACACTTAGTATACTTGTGTTATATAGGTAAGCCTCAGAAAATCCATGATTCCCAGATTCTGTGTGGATTTTGTATATATGTATACACATACATGCATTTTTTTGTTTTTTCTTTTTTTTTTAAGTCTCTATCCTAAACTGTATTCATGCATTTTTTTAAAGAAAATTTTCCCATAGTTTCCATCTGGTTATCAACCACTGACTTAAAGGTTTTGTCTCAAATTGTCTAGCAAAAGAAAAGACAATTATGAATTAATCACTACCTAACGGTTCACCTTGAATCAAGCATATCTCAGTATAACTCCTTGCTATCCAATATAGCAGATATAAAAGACTAAAAACAAAAATAAACAAGGTTTAAACTGTGGAAAGGTCAGAGATCTCATGCTAACCTAACAGTGGCAATCAACCTTGTAGTTAAACAGTGTGGCTTTTTTTCCACTTTTAACAAATGACTTAAAGTAGAGAAAGACTGCCATCTAGTGATAGCCCATCTCTAAAATTCCTTAAAACAATGTGGCCAAATAAACAGAACTGCTTAAAAAATCTAAAAACTAAAAAAGAAAAAAAATCTAAAAACTGAATTTTATACTACTTGTTGGCCAAGGACTTATAGCTAATTATTAAATGATATGTAAAGTACTCTAATGTTTAAATTTCCATTGCTATTAGAAAGCAAGAATTTGAGAACAAAATCATGGTCTTTTGACATGTCCAGGTATGTCAAAGTGAAACAAGAGTATCTATGGAATGAACTGCACCACTGGTTTAATTATTTGTGATAATCTCAAGAATATTCTAGTACTTAACAGAAGGTAAACAAGAAGAAATGCTTAGAAATTAACAATAACTTTTTATAGCCTACATTTTGACTCAACTAAGTAAATGCTGACCTAGAGAGGCTGATTTCCAAAAATCCCCCAAATAAATTTTACA